AACTGGTGTGTTTATATTGTGTTATTTTAACAGACAAAATATACCGAATTTTGCATAATTTTAATATATTATGCACATAATTTTTAATTTTTTGTTGCAGAATTCTCCCAGGAGTATAGAAAAAATGATTGCTTCTGAAAAAATTATTACTATTTTTATATGCAACGTTCTAATGGGCCACACCAACTGGCTAACATGGCAATGTACCCCACAGAAGTTCTGTTTTTTATAGGTAGTACTTCTAAGAGTGAACTTTATCAAAAATTTTAGCTCCAAGTATCAGAGGGTGAACTAGACACTTTCTGAGTCACCTGGATAGGTTTGTGGGTCAGGTATTCCACATTCTGTATTTTCTAGTTCAAAGGAAATGTTATATTATATAGAGAATTCTGGTTACAACATAAACAGTATTACATACTGTAAAGTACATTATAAAAAGATTAATAACCTGAAATAGATTCAGTTACAAAATACTTAGCCAGCACTAATCTCACAAAAACAATTAATTTTTTTTTTAGTTTTGATTTATCAGATTCACAGAATATGTTATCAAAAAAGTAACCTGAAATTCTTACTATAAAACAAAATGTATGTATTTCACCACAGACTCAAAGTCTTCATTAATTAACTTACCATTATATTTTTCTTATGGCGTTTTTCTTTAATGTGCTTGTGAGCTCCCTGGATATTTTCAATGTGAACCAAGCAGAGTTTGCATAGATACTGGCAGTTGGCATATTCTGGGGAGCGCTGAAATAAAGAGGCCAACATTTTTTTAAAAAAGAGACTTACATACTTCTGTCAGTAGTCCATGACAAATTGTGTCAATAATAAACAGTACTTAGCATTTATACAGCACCTTTTAGGTCAAAGTATTTTACAAATATTAATTAATGAAACTTCACAAGACCTCTGTGGGTTGGATTATCCCCACTGGACATGACGTGAAAGTGACTTGCCCAAGGCCACATAACATGTTAGTGTCAGAGCCAGGAGTAAGACTCACAAGTTTCTGTCTTCTAACCCTTAGCTCAGGATCACTCTCTTGTTCAAGCTCTTTAAATGTAAGGATCTGTAAAATCTCATCACCAGTCCTCCCAATGTCTTTTTCCACATCGACAAGAAGGGATATATTCACTATAGTGTCAGCCTACACATGTACTCCCTTTTTCTGCCATCTTTTGTAATTTTAAAAAGTATGTATTACCATCCTCCCTCCATTCGAACATGTTTATATTTGATAAATCCACAAAGCATTTTGGAAATGTCAGCTATTAAAATAGTATGGGGATTAATGCACAGGAAACATTCATTTTAAAACACTATTTGCTCTTGCTGAATTTGGTCTTTTGTGGTTTCACAAAAACTTGATATTTTCTGAATACTCAATATTTTCTGATTAAAATGTCAGTGTAAAATAATGTGGCCATTTTGCTTTTATCAGTATAATATTCTGAGCCTTTATTTCATTTGTTTGAGGAAGAAACCTAACAAGATGAAGCCAAATATCAATCTGCTGGGGCTTATTTGATTAGTTTTGGGGGAGGGTGAAGGATTTCCTCAATACTGAGGCAGACCGAAAAATCTTCTGAGTACACTTCAAAAGCAGAAGGAATCTTTTTGTTTTCTTAAATACCCATATACTGATTTGGGTATTGCTTTAGACCAGTTTAAAGGGGGTGTTTTGGGGAAGGTTTTCTGGGATAGAAATGTATGGGGAAGTTTGGCATTCATTATTTACAGTACTAGGACAAGTGACATTCTATAAACACCTAAGATAGATAAGCAGTGGATCCTTTAGATCTATTAAACTAAAAACGCTGGTAAATGCTCTACATATGCCATATGGGAGATCTATGTTCAATTTTCAGTCAATGTTTCTTGCTCTCCAGGCCAGCAATACTGAGGAAGCGGTCAGCTGTAGTGGGCAGTGTCTTATGTCACCCAAAAGAACCATTCTAAATAAAGAAGGAATAGTGGCAATAGGGTCAAAAAGAAGTCCCATCCAAACAAAAGTATGGTGACCATGATGTGAAGTCTCATTGGCATGGGGCTAAAAAGGCTCTTTACCAGAGCTACAGAATACACTGAATTTTCCTTCGCCCTGAACAAGCAAAAAGGAACAAGAATATCACAACCTACTTTTTCTAGTCGGGAGATATAATCTCTTTCCAGTCGCTCTTCTGCTTGTTTCAAGCCTAGCTGCTGTTCTGCTGTCAGAGTAGACTCATCAATTACAGCAGTGTTTTCTAAATACTCAGCCTCCAAATTATGTTCTTTAGCTGATTCAGGATTCTTCATTTTGCCTGGAGAAAGAAGTTGGCACTTAATTATTGTTTTCCAGAATAACTTTTTAAAAATGGGGAGGAGGAAGAGGTAAGCATTATAAACAATATAAGGTCGTCTGTAGGTGCTTTCATGCAGGAGTCAACTCTGTGGGCTAAACATGAGAACATTCACTGGTACTTTTTAAATAGCATCACACAGGGCTTTAGTTACATGGTTCCCAATGACTTCAATGGGAATCAAATGGAAAATATCAACAACAACAACATAAGTGTAACCTTCCGTCTCTACGGAGAAAAGACTACATAAGAATCTCTTCAATGGTCTTAAGATACCATACCTTCCAATGATGCATTACGGTTATTTGTTTACCACCCTTAAGCGAGACTAAAGAGCCAAGTTTTTTAATATAAGTGCTCTATCAAAGAAGAGAAAAAATGTAAGATATCAGCGCTGTGTAAGAGTTTTGTGCAAAGACTATGTTGTAGGAGGTAAGCTCTTTGGGGCAGGGATCATCTTTTTGTTATGAGTACATACAGCATGTGGCATAATAGGACCGTGATGTGCCATGAGAATACAAATAACAAGATTTAAATTATTACACTGCATGTTTAGTCAAGAAAAATACCAGAAAGCTACTTTAAATAAATTCACAGAAAAATGTTTTCCAAAGCTACTATCTAGACAGTTCAATTGCACCCACTTACTAAGTCAGCATGATGTTAAGAACATACTTATGTTCTGTGACACCTTAGCATTCTATGGCTGTTCACAGCAACCATGCTGCATTGGAATGTTGTCATTTATAAATATATAAGATTTTGAAATTACAATCCCTCCTGAAGACTAAAATCTGCACATAGTTTGTTAATGTACACAACCATCTACAGTGTACACTATTCTTATGAGCACAACCCACATCAGTGGGAGTGTTACCAAGAACAACTAGATCTTACAAGAGTAAGGAGAAGATGGCATTGAGATAGCTAGCCTGGGGACACAGATTAGAAATTGCTTAGTTAGCTGATTCCTAAGTATGGTCTGTGGATGACTGGTAGTCCATGCAACACTTGCTGGCGTTCTACATATAGCTGGCTGGTCACGTTTTCCAAACTGGTTCTTGCTGGTAAATTTTAAGACAGTTAAAAACACATTAAATATTTTACTAATATTACTTTTCCACATCAGTAGTTGCTGTATTTACCACAGGGATGTAGTCTGACCACAAACAAAAGGGAAAGCAGTCTTCACAACAGCAAGTGGCAGGGCCGCCCAGAGGATTCAGGGGGCCTGGGGCAAAGCAATTTCAGGGGCCCCTCCCATTAAAAAAAGTTGCAATACTATAGAATACTATATTCTCGTGGGGGCCCCTGTGGGGACCGGGGCCTGGGGCAAATTGCCCCACTTGGCCCCCCCCGGGCGGCCCTGGCGAGTGGCTCATGAACCATTTCTATAAAAAGCCACACTTTGAAACAGTTTGAAAACTCCTGAACTAAGGGCTAACTCAGAAGGAAATGAACTCTGATGCATGTATTACATTCTGAAGCTGAAGGAGACTTAAATACGGAGGGTTCACAAGAGTGGCTGCTGGAAGTATCTAGACTGAAAAGAAGCCAACCGTCAAAGCACCTTCTGAAGACTTTTGCAGAACAAAAATAGCATAGCAATCAGGTAAAAGGCAAGAGTGTGTGTCTTCTTGATGCTTACAGGGAAGTTTTCTTAAATTTGGAAGTAGTTGATTTTTGTCTGCACTTTTAAAATAGTATTACTAATAGGTCTCTAGGTAAGATAGCATAATATTTTGAAGATTTCTGTTTTAATATTTTCTAATTTCACAAAATAGCCTGAAATTGACACACAATCAGTTAAAATGTGGCTCTAAATAAATTTAAAATATTGCATAATCACTTTTAAACAACATAGAAAAGAAATTTAGTTAAATGCTATTCATCTGACCTTTATTCTCCAAGTAACAAAGGGTCTATTCACAGTACACTCTTTGTAACTGTGCTTGATGATTTTCTGTATGTAACTGAGAAGATATGCAAAGCAGAAATACTTCAGAGCCCATTTCAGATTGTTAACAATTTCTCGAAGAAACCTGAATGAAATAGTGTGCTTTAATACTTACTAAAGTCATCAGACTTGTGCTCCACTGTTCTTTGATTTGAAACTGTCTTACCAGAGTCACCAGTCTGATCCGTGCTTGTTTTTGACATATGAACTCCTGGTGGATTTTCCAATACCAATTTCCCTCTTTGTGTAGCTGGTAAGGTTTCCATACTGATTCCATTCCCAGAAATATGGGAGCTTGGAGAGTTTTCTCCTGTCTGCTGAACTTTTGTCTGTTTCAGGTTTTCTACTGTTGCTGGTAAATTAGATATTTTTTTTGCTTTGCCATGACTTCGATCCTGAAGGTTTGACCCCATATCTTTAGATCCAGGAATGCAACTATTTACTTTACATGATTTATTTTCTCCTGATTTTTCAGAACAAACATCATTTTGTTTACTCTTTTTGCTACTGCTCCCACTTGGAGAACTTCTCCCAACATCTTTTACAGATTTATCATTTCTATTGTGTTTATAATTCTGATTGTTTATAACTCTGACTGCTTTGCCTTCTTCACAGACAACACGGGTAGACTTTCTTGGGTCATGATTTCCATTTTTTGAGCTCTTGGCCTCTTCCATTATAGTGAAGACCGCTTCTTCTGTCACTTGAGACTGCTTGAAACGCAATTCTCCAGTAATATAATGTTGATTAAAATCGACTGTTTGGGCACGGGAAACTGGCTGATTGTCTGCTGGGGAAAAATAATAGTAAGCATTAAAAAATATGACAGGAACAATATCAAAACTCTAAGAAAATATGTATTAAACAGACCTCCCTCTAAGGAGTAAGAAAATGTATTGAATTGAATTATGATGAAAGAAAGAAGCACTTTCCAAAAATAGTTTTCAACAATAAAATTTATATTATTCTTAAAGTAAAATAAAGAAAGACTCAAGAGTATTTTCCTAATGGGGAAAGGAAGAGACAAAACAGCAGCAAGAAAACTCTCACACAGTTTTAAACTGTCACCAGGTCTGTTTTCTCTCTTTTCTACATTGTTGTTGTGGTGTTATATATTGAATATCTGTCATCAGATAACATCTCCTCTTCTTTTGGCTTTAGAAAAGCAGTAAGAATTAAGGAAAATTATAACTACAGTGAGGAAAATAAGTTAATTGAAATATTAAAAACACACAGACAAAATTACTCTAATAAAATGTATGACTAAAATCAGCCTCTGAGGAAAGCTAATTCAGTTCTATCAATTCAAGAAAAATATTTTTTTTCTAGCACTCAAATTGTTAAGAAGCATGGATTTGGCCCTCTATTTACTGTAGCGCCTGTATGCACAGAACCTTTGGTAATAAGCTTTTGGATATAAACTACTCAGACAAAATGTCATGACAAATATATTAATTTATATAATATGTTGCTTCCTCAACCACTAGAGTTGTCTAAATAGTCTACCTAACCTCAGATTAGCTAAACCCCTTTGAACCCTGATTCCTTGAGGAGGGCATCAACAGCACTCAATTCTGGGGTACAGGACTTATTTGTTTGACCAGGTTTTCAATTTAATTTAACAGTAAATGGGAAGACTGATAAGCAGTAGGATTCCGTTTGTAACTGATTGTTTGTGTTAATGTGAAGCAAGGAGATGGATTTGTGATAAGCACTAATACAAATGTCTAAATAATTTTGGTATGATAAGTATTATAAAGTGCTGAGAATTGAGTGATCCATAATATGCAGGCAAAAGGACAATTAAATATGTAACTCCAGCAACATGTGAATCTGAAATGTAAAGCTGACACTTTATCTACTATGTTACACGTTGTGGGTAGCAACCAGGGGAATTTATGGGTGCTTACTTAACCATCAAAAGAAGTACCCATATTGTTCTATGGGGAAAAAACTATAAGACTGACTAAATCAGGGGTGGCCAGCCTGTGGCTCTGGAGCCACATGCGGCTCTTCAGAAGTTAATATGCGGCTCCTTGCATAGGCACCAACTCTGGGGCTGGAGCTGCAGGTGCCAACTTTCCAACGTGCCGAGGGGTGCTCACTGCTCAACCCCTGGCTCTGCCACAGGCCCTGCCCCCCACTCCACCCTCACCTCACCCTACCATGCCCTCGCTCCTCCCCTTCCCCCCCAGAACCTCCTGCACGCCACAAAACAGCTGATCGGGAGGTGTGGGGAGGGATGGGGATGCGCTGATCAGCGGGGCTGCTGGTGGGTGGGAGGCGCTGGGAGCGGGGGGGGGGCTGATGGAGGGCTGCTGACGTATTTCTGTGGCTCTTTGGCAATGTACACTGGTAAATTCTGGCTCCTTCTCAGGCTCAGGTTGGCCACCCCTGGACTAAATGGTATTTAAGTTCAAACCACTAGATTTTACTACATTGTAATTCATGCAAAACTTCATTAAAAAATTACAATGGAAGGAACAATCAGGTTACAATTATATATTTGTAAAAACCAGATTTCCTTATATGTGTTATAAAACCTCAGATTATCTACACTGAACATATAAAAGGCTAATGTCCTATTAGTAACTTATGATATTTTACTTTCAGCATTTCTCTCAGCTTGAAAATAGACTAATCATTTTCACTTTCTGACTCATTAATTTGTATTTTTTGGCTAGCAAGCACTTCAGGGGAAGGTTTAAATTCCATACTAGAAACTGTTGGAAACCATGTATTTATATGACTGGTTTTATAAAACCTTACCTTAAAAAAAAACTCAACAAACACCACCACACTGTATTTTGGGCCTACATCTATAAGGCATATACAGTAGTTTTAATTTACTGTGTATTTTGCCTCTTCAAGAGCAAAGGGAAGAATAATAATTGTCCAATATTTCAGCTATAACTTTCTCCATAAACAGAAGGCATATTATCACTGTTTTCAATTGGTTATGTTAGAGCATGTAGATTTTTAAAAAAATAAAATAAAAATAAAGTCAAAAATTGGTCTTGTCAAGTTAAGTTTCAATAGTCATCAACTTCAGTTTTACATAAAGCCATACAAAATGAACATAGAAATGACCTACAGATTATCAAATTCATTCCAATGCACAGGCAGAAAAGATTCTCTCAAATATACTGAACTGATATTACAACTACCAGCTATTAAAGTGTTATTACACTTCACTCTAACTCTAGCTCTTGGCCCAATGGGTTTTAGTTGTTGTAATTTTGAACTCTGTAGGATTTTCTTTGAGATTTAATACTACTGGAAAAAATCCTTCAAGACATCTGTCAGTCAGCTCTGTGTTGTTAGTGTGTGTTGTGGAATTAGAATACTAGAGTTGACCAAATCAATCTATGTAGAGCTGACTTCAGTTCCTTTTCATAGTATATACACACCAAAACTTCCAGCCACAGTGAGTTTAATGCAATTCCTATTGGCTCTCTCTCCCTTTTGCCTCACCTAATAGAATGGCTGCCTATGAGGCACCAGAGTCCCATTTTGAGTCTTGGCTGAGACAATATGCAAGCAGCAAATCCAAACTGGCACTGGGAACCCTGCTAATATGCTAAATCTGTTCTAGTGTTTGACCACCAGTTGGCAGGCACAAAGCACTGCTATAACGACTAGTGAAAATGTTATATCTGTTAAATGGACAATGTCAGGTTAAAAAAATGTTCTATTTTTTAAAATGTCCTATGTTACAAATAAGACTTTAGATTAAAACTCAAATAATTTTAAAAATCTAAACTATTACTATTTATTTTGCATTTTTCTCATCCCGGACCATTAAAATAGACTAATCAGTTTCACTCTTATTTCTAGTCAGTTTCTGACTTTCATGCACCTGAAAAATACTTGAATTTATAGACTTTCTGATAGTGATAAAAGCCATTGAAGTAAAGCTTGCATAGGCTGACTGGAATTAGAACCTGTAAATTATAGTACAACCTGAAAACACATGGACAGTTAACAGCTATTAATATTGGTTACTGCTAGCAACACCAATACCAAAAATCAGAGATGTGAAGTTTAATTTGTATTCTAAACAACATAACTGAAGCGTGCTTATCAATACTGCAACAGCAGGATGGCAACAGCTCTGTGCTTTTACTAAAAATCAAGACTCATTTCTATCAATTGCCTTGCTTCTACATAAATAATAAAAAGTGTTTTTCCAAACTAGTGACGTGGGCTTATCTATCTTTGCTTGACAGATATTGCAATTTGGGTTGTATATTTATCTTTAGAATGGAATAACAAGTCCACCATCATCGTGTGAAACACTCAATGAAAACGTAAGTTTGCCTCTTTTTTCTCCTTTGTTCATAAAATTGCTGCTAAAGTAAAAAAAAATAGCAGAAAAAGTTGAAAACAAGATAGCTACTAGCACTAGAGACACTGGCAGTAAGTCTGATCATATCTTAGCAGGCCACTATTTATCAGGTTTTAATTTTTTAATTACTTTAAATCATTATTGTTAGTTGTGGGGACTGGATGGCTCAAGGGACTGATAATGGAGTAATTTCACCATTAGGTCACTGCCTCAAATCCAACACAGATAGTGATCAAAAGTCATTATTTTACATTAGCTAAAGGCTATTAAGTGACTAACATGAGCCAGTTTGGTGATCTAGGTCGAGTTCCTTGAAAACGTGAGTCCACAGCTAAGTTGCCACTCAAATAGATTTTCTTGCAGTAGTTAGGAAAGAGGACAATAAAATATATCAATATTAAATTATATTAATCAAGATAACCATACATTTCCTTAGATTTCCTTCAGCTGGATTTTTTTCTGTCACCTTTAAAACACCTCGACCCTCATAGCACAAGAACTTGAATGCTATAATAATGTTACATATTGACAGAGAGAATATAATCAAAATTAAGTTAATTACAGCCAAAGTACAGCAGTGTTTTATCTCTGAGACAATTATAAGAGAAAACAAATGGGCAGTCCTTAAGACCTGGGTATTTTCAAGGCTGCAAAAAGGTGAATATTTCAGAGGCCAAATTTAGCCCTGGGCTAAGCAAGTACAACTCCATTGTTGTCAGAGTTCCATTTAATGGTGCCAGGCTTGAATTTGGTCCTTCTTGTACAAATTATTACAGGAATTTCATTTGCTGCACTGCTGCAACACTTACTCAAGAGTACCTAGATTTTCTAATTACAGCATAAATTGAATAATATAACTTTAAAAAATCATATAAAACAAATTCTTTAAAAGATACTTCCTTACATTACTATAATTGACAGACTATATAAAATCTAATTTACTCTTCTCCATTTTTACAATTCATTTGGCTTGCACAATGAAAGAACTAGACATTTTCACTTTTGTTTCTTGACAGCTTGTAAGTTTCACTTCCTGGCTCTCAGCCGTCCGTATTAGCAAATATAGTCTTTAAACTGCAGAGAAATGTTTAATCCAAACAGCATGAAAAGCTCTTTTTATTGATTTATTACATTTCATGGAGACATTTCTAGCATTTTGTAAAATCTTTCACCCCACCCAAAAAAAAAAAAGTTAAATTTTACACTTAAACTACCTTTAACTATCCTTTTAAAACTTTACATTTTGTATCTGATTTTGTTGTACCAACATACTTGGGGAGGGGTTGGGGGGATTAAATGGACTTTGTGCCCAGCCTGTATATGGCTTGGTCCACACTTGTGCCTGGGTGCCTATACAAACCATTCAAACTTCTATCATACTTTATGACAACACTCAAAGTATTTCTTATCATACAGTTGAGAGCAGTTAAATCTCCATTCATATAATTAGATCTGGATTAGGTTATGAAACCAAAATTAAGGAGATTTAAAATTCAAAGAGGCACGGTCAGTGGCTACTGGTGACTGCAGCTCTTTAGATTTAAGGACCCACCACCAATAAACCCAGGACATAGGTATTTTTTAGTTAATGAATGTAAATGCTGAGGGACAACACATTATAGTACTGTTTCTATGAGAAAGACCAATATTTAAGAACTAACAAGAACCCTACTCCAATCAAACAGGAAGAGCAGAAGGAGAATGTAATGTGCATAATGTGTAAGATTTGTCATTACAACAAATCCAGTAAGAAGTTATGATTTTAACAGTGTTACAACCCTAACTCTGAGGGCAAATAGTTTTGGCAGTATTGTTCCAAGTTCAGACTTTGATAGAAAATATTCCATGCAAAGTTTCAGCATGGCTCAAATGCTTTATACCTGCATTATACAGCTGCCTATTGGCACTGGCTTGATGTAAATAAAACAATTTTGTTTGATGCCAAATTTAGCAGTTAGATGTGGTACAAGCATTAAGATTGTTTCCTTAAATCTCTAAAGCATACAGGATAGTCATCATTTACAAGATATGCTTACTACAAGTTATTTCTATTTGCAAAGACATACTTTTTCTGAGTTGTCATTCTTCATACTGGGTAAAGAAGAAAAAGTCAGAGAGAGAGATGGGGGTGTGGTCTCAGCACAGGACCAACAGCCACGGACTCCTAAATTCTAATTCCTGCATTGATAATTCTCACTGCAGCTGGGCAAGTCACAATCTCTCTCTCAGTTTCACCACCTGTAAAATGAAGCTAAAAATATGTCCCTATCATAGAGGGGTGTTGTGACCATTAGTTACAGTTCATCTTGCTATGGTATTGTGCAGATGGAAAAACACTATGAGCATGATCCAGAGCCCATTAAAATCACTGGACCCACTGACTTTGGTGGGCTTTGGATCAGGCCCTGTAAGTGCTAAGTATTATTGTAATAATGCCAGTAAAATATATATGTATTTTATAAGTTTCAGGAATGCATTCTACCACACCATTTAAACAGGACAGCACTTTGTCTTCAAAGCACTCCACAAACTATGTATTACTTTAGAATTAACTGTAAGCAGTTGACATGTTTTTGGCATAGGAATCTGTATGGTAGAAAAGCTGTGGCGAGAATACGTTAAAACACTTCGGTATACAGACCGAGCCTTGGCAGTCTGCAAACAAACTATTGATAGCAGTCTCACAAACCAACACTTATTTTAGTAAAGAAATAAATTCTGAAGCTACTTAGCACTGCCAATTTTATATTTTAAAAAGTTTTTATAAAAGGCTTTTACCTCAGCCTTGCTTCACAATGGTTGCACTTAGGAATATCAGCTATTATTGTCAGCCTCACTGTAACAGAAAAAGATAGCTGATTTCATAATGGAAATTGATTGAATTTCATCTGCAGACAAAATTAGTTCAAGTATAGGTTTGTTGTAACATCATAGCCAAAGGGGGCTAATTAGAAACAATGTACTGTATATACAATTGCACATGTGTGATTCTGAATAAAAAAAACTGGGTTTACTTGCAGGATCATTAAAGTCAAAGGACAGTGTACAATAACTTTGTAAATTATAATTTGGGGGGAGGGATAGCTCAGTGGTTTGAGCATTGGCCTACTTAAACCCAGGGTTGTGAGTTCAATCCTTGAGGGGGCCACTTAGGGATCTGGGGAAAAATCAGTACTTGGTCCTGCTAGTGAAGGCAGGGGGCTGGACTCAATAACCTTTCCAGCTCTAGGAGATAGGATATCTCCATTTATTTTATTTTATTTATAATACTGCAAAGTTCAAGAGAAAATTATTGAATTATCCACAAATTAAACACAATTTGTGACTATCACCAACTCATAGTTTAGGTTGCATCAGTACATTGACTGGTAATGTGTAAAAAGAAGTATAAATATTGAGTAATACATTAGACTTTGATCCTGCAACTGGGTTCATATGAGCCAGTGGCATGATCAGGACTTTAATTTGTGTGTGGTTAGTAATTTATGCTAAACTCTTCTACAGTTCATTCAGTGGGACAGGGACAATGATAATAGAGAAACTTTGAAATTTAGAAAAGAATACCAAAGACCAAAGACCAATACTCCAATACGTAGAAAACATTAGGATCTACTCACAGCTGTACAAGTTTTTGCACTGGCTTATAAAAAGAACACTGTGACTACAAAAAGCAAAATTATTATTCTACAGGCAGAGCCACAACAGAGTAGAGGAAGTCCAGCTCATAAGAGGCAATGGCTGGAGGTGTTTTGCTTTCAGGGGTGTTGGAGGGAAATGTGCTCATTGGCAAATTGTGCCCCCACTCCCCCTTTTGAAACTCTTCCCAAAGCAGATCTCCATGCATTCTTCTCTGCATCAGTAGAACAAGACCACCATGGCCTTGTCCCCTGACTACCCAGATACCCCTTGTGAGTAATTCAGTACTGCAGGCACCTTCCTTCCATGTGTTCGTTTACAGAGTGCAGACAGCACGGCTGGTTCCTATGGAGGTCTTGGAGGTATACCATGTGGAAAAAGGGACTCCCTGTTCCCACTCCTCTTACCTGCACAGGGCAGCCATAATTTCACCCAAAAAATCACCTTTATAGGGGGACTTGCATACTGTGGTAGGTTTGGCAGAACTATTACATAAAAAGCAATTACTTTGCAGGAGGTGGAATTGCTGATATGTTTGGATAAGAGCTCTCTTCCTCCAAACTTAGCTTCTTCTGGCAGATGCTGCAATTAAGTCATACTTCTGTGGCTGAGTGGGTCACCCCTCATCATGGAAATAATGTTATAACCATTTAGGGCTGGATTATCAAAAGCACCCACGTGAGTTACGAGCACAAGTCTCACTGAAAATCAGAAATATTATGACTTCTCAGTAGATTCAAACAGAAGGGAGGAATCCTGGATCTAATGCATATTGTCCAGGAACCCAAATCAGCAGGAAGTAGTGAGAGACAGCACATGCAAGGTTATTAAATCCCTGTTTAAATATAATTTAATATTGTACCTTGTATGACAGTCCCTCTCTAATGATTAACTCAATATTTCAGAAAATAAGTCTACAACTGCCTGTTTTGCTTTATCTTCAGTGCTTACTGCTACTTTTTGAGACATCTTTAAAAGAAGGTTCAAAGTAACCTGACATTTTCCGCCAATTGACAAATCCTCTACATATGGCAAAAGCATGTATTCATTCAGCTGCATTTGTACCTATTTTAAGCTAACATAAGGGCAGGATAAGAGTAGCTAAAGTGATCCCTGTGTACAGTTTGCAAGCAATATTGGAATCTTGTAGGATGGATGACTATATACTCTAGGAAAGAAAGATCCCTTCCACTCCATTACCCCCAAAACTTTAGTACATGATTTAGAAACAGCTAATATGGTTCTTACAACCTTGCAAGTAGCACCGGAGTGCAGTAACTGTCACTAAAATTCCTAGGATATTAGAGAATACAAGGGGAAATCCTAAACTGATTAAAATACAATGCAACTGGCTAAGAAGAAAGCAGGGAATTATGCCAGTTTACAAACCACATAAAGCCTACCCCCAACAGTTTATCTTCCAAATGTAACATTAAAATAATGAATTACCATGGAGGTTAAAAATCAAGAAAGCCCTGTCTTGATGGGCAAAAGTGTGTGTTTTTCAACTGAGTTAGTTTAACACAACTAAAAAGTCATGTTAAGATGCAGGCTAATAAGTTTGAAGTTGCATTCATTGGCTGGGTTACAGTCTAGTGGGGGAACCCAGACTGCAACATGGCCAGCTAACACAGCTTCAAACACGTTAGCTTGCATCTTAACAAGGCTATTCTGTCATGCTAAGTAAACACGACTGAAACACACACCCTTTTTACCTGTCAAGATATACCCAAGGAAGAATGGCCAATGGGAGGGGGAGGGATTCTTCTTATGCAACGTGAAGCATGAACAATTCTGTTACTTCTCAAACATACATTTAGATCAAGTAAGGAGGAAAACAATCACTTGAACAGGCTATGAAAACATATCTGTAAAAGAGTAATGTATTAATAAACATGAAGCATAGCACCCTGGCTACAGCCAAGGATCAGGAGCTGGGAGATTTTTTTGCATTGGGGATCTGACATGGACTTCCTGTGTGACCTTGGGCAAGTCGCTTCACCTCAGCGTCCCCAGCTGTAGAATGGGGCTACCGGTCTCCTCTCGCCAGCCATGGCACTCCTTGGATGGAGGGGACGGGGGAAAGGCAGAGCACTGCTAAGGCTGTGTGCCTGTCTGTCATACCTCCCACCCAAGGGCCTCCACAGCAGGCCCGCCCCAGGCTCCCACCCCCAGGGGCTATTTAGCGCCCGCACCTGCCCCCTCCATAGGGATTTACACCCTCCCCCCCAGAGGAGAGAGGCCAGAAGCAGGGAGAGAAACTGCGGAGCCTCCCCAGCGGGAGGAGCAGCAGCGGTGGGCAGGGCGGGTCCTACCACAGGCGGGCACCGGGAGCAGAGCGGCGAAGGGAACGGGCCAGGTAAGCGGGAGCCCCCGCGGGGAGAGGCGGGGAAGGCCTGGGGGCGGGAGGGGGTCCCCAGGAGCCGCCGCCCCCAGCAGAGGGGGGAGCCCAGAAGCAGGGAGGGGAGCAGCGGCCGCCTCTAAAGGCCTCGGGGCTCCCAGGAGCCTCCCCTACGCCCCGAGCCCGGTACCTGGCTGCTGCCCTAGGGGCGCTGAGGCTGCGCCCCCCCCATGCCCGGCTCTGGAGGCCCCGATGCGAGCGGCTCAATCTGGCCCGGCCGCCATGTCAGCCGCGCCGCGCACTGCATTGTGGGGGGGAGGGGGCTCACACCTCCGCCTGCCCGGAGGGAGGGGGATGGCGGCACCTCCAACCCCTGCCCCTCCCCCCGTCCCGGGGGGCTCGAGGCGGGGCAGACCCCGCTCCCCCCCCCCCCCCCCTGCAGGGGAAAGGGGGCGTGGCTGACCCGTAGAGAAACCTCTGCCCCCCGCCACCCCAGGGATTTAAAGGGCCGACGGGGGGTCTGATGGGGCCCCTGTCAATGCAGCCCCGAGGCGGCTCCTCTCCTGGCCTCGCACCCCCGCCCAGGTGGCTCCGAGCCTGCCGTGTCGAGGCAGCCGGCTGCGGGGTTTGTCCCGTGCCGACGAGCCCTTCGCCAAGCGGGGCCTGCCGGGACCCAGCCCTACTGCTCTGCCTTAGGCCCTGGTGTCTGCTGGGGGGGGCTGCCCGCGCCCGCCTGCCTGCCTGCCTCCCCCTATCACGAAACCGCTCTGGCCTCCACCTGACCTTGGCCTCTCTCCAGCTGGGGACTGGGTCTGGGCCCCTACAGCCTGGCGGCCACTTCCCAGCCCACAAGGGCATGACTGGCTTGTGGGGCTGGCTCTTGGCATTGCACTGAGGGAAGCCGGCAGATGCTTAGGTAGCTCAAAATCTCTTGGTGAACCAGCGCTGCCCCTCATGAGCAGCAGGCGATTATGGCATTGACACCAAGGCCTCCCTAGAAAAAGGGGAATTAAGGATTAATGTAGCGCCATTCAAGAGATTCAGAAGAAGCTCTTGAAATTAGAACACACAGAAAGAAGATATTTATATATACAGAGAACATGAAAAGGTGGAAGTAGCCATACCAACTGTAAGAGGCCAATCAACTGAGATGAGCTATCATCAGCAGGAGAAAAAAACCCTTTACTTCCACCTTTTCATGTTCTCTGTATGTATAAATATCTTCTTTCTGTGTGTTCCATTCTATGCATTCGATGAAGTGGGCTGTAGCCCACAAAAGCTTATGCTCAAATAAATTTGTTAGTCTCTAAGGTGCCACAAGTACTCCTGTTCTTTTTGCGGATACAGACTAACAAGGCTGCTACTCTGAAACTTGAAAATAGTGTATGCTGCTGGTAGAAGAAATAACACACGGCTTTAGACTTCATATGTATAAGTAAATAACTGCACTAACTTTATTTAATGTTACACACACTGGCAAGACTTGCTCTTGACAAGATGTAAGGATCATGCTGTTTTTACAATATATATTTTTTGCAAGCTAATCTGCTCCCTCCTGGTTCAGTTGAGACTTGCAATTCAAAAAGAGTGAGGATTGTTGCCCAGGCAGGAGGCCAAGAACATCTGAAATTATTTCTGTAGATCAGCCTAGGCTTTTCTGAGTCAGCTCCCAACCCCAGATTTGAACCTATCACTTAAAGTATAATCTGTTTTACCATTGTACATTTTATTTGTCAATATCCTGGAACTTCCCCAGAAAGAAATCGATCCTCCTTTAATTTGGCTTGTTACTGTACATATCATTTTACAGGACATGGGGGAGGAGGAAAAGAGTGTGCAGGAGATCAAAGGCATGGAGACAAAGAGGCAAACAAGAAAGGTGGAGTCTTAACCCTGTTAAAGCCTTTACACATTTAAACATTTAACATGCTTAAAGTTTTCATTGTGGATAAAAGACTTCCACTGCATTCCCCTCCACCATCCATTATCCTCCTTCTCAGTGCCATGGAACTTTTTTCTCCCTACCCCAAAACTTCTTATGGACTCAAAGTCTCTAGTAGGGGAGCCCTACTTTGGTGGGCCTCTTGAGAGCTATCAGAATGTATAGATTCTTGACCAGATTTTCATTTACATTAAGGCTGCTTTACACCACATTAAGGCTCGTTTACTCTGCCAAAGTGGCATTTTAAGGTCTCTACACTGCCAGGGCAGAACATTATTCTGATTCGTGCAGTGTAAAATTGATATAATAATATTTAATTTTATTCTGACAGAGTTCTACAAAAGAAGGAAATTTCCCCGCCAAAAAGAAACCTCTTAAAAATGTTAATGTTGCAAGTGTGTTTCAATGGAGTCCTACTAACACCTAAAAACGTTACTTTCTTTACAGAAATTTTACACCTTAAAAAAAAAAGTTTAAATGTAAGAAGTCTGGAAATTACCAGTTAAATGCAAATCTCCCAACCTTCAAACAAACTTGTGGGTGATGTCATTAGATGTTTGACTGCATCTGTGTGTTTTTTCTGAGTGCTGTCCCAGCTCTGCACAAATAGTTGGCACAGCAGACCTTGATCAAACTGCCCAATAATCACAGCGAAGGAACTTGGTCAGGTTTATTGTTAATGAAGCACGGTCCTAATGCCCTGGCTCAATGGTTACAGGTACACTAACACATGTATGCCTGTTGCAGTGGACTAGCTCAGTTAGTGGCGGGACTTTCCCTTATCCCCTAGGCCAGCCAAAGACACTCCCTCTGAGACTTCATTTTATACCCCCAATACAAACAAGTTACATGTTGCCCCTCTGACAGTTACTGCCCCCTGACATGGGTTGTTACTGCCCATTACCTTGTACATGTTGGTTTGATCAAAACATGTCTATCCATCTATGTCATCCTGACCTTATCTTTAGGATGGGTCAGCATGTTCCTGTTATCTTTAGGGAATGTACTGATATCGAGGTGTTCTGGTACCACCCTTCTGGAATGTGTTTGCATGAGTGCTCTGTGCCTAGGACCTCTTAGCAACGTGTGTGGGTTTTTTTTTGCAATATCAGCTGTTTTCTTGCCAGATTCTGTGAGCAGGGCCTTCCTCTTGCTCACAACCTGATTTTGCTTTTTGTCAGCAAAACTTTGACCACTACTTTAGATCAGGCCTCTGATACAAGGGCTTGTCTCAGGCTCTCTTCCTACTACAGGTGAAATAAGTGATCAACATGTGTGAGAAATTACATAAAAATGTGGAACACCTTTATTTTGTTGCACATGCTATAATTGACAAATTATAACTTTTTAAAAATATATAACTTGTTTTTAAGGATATATTCTCACTCAAGTAAATAAACCAGTTGATTTTTTTATTTTTTTTAAAGAGAGTTTATAAAAACAAAAAGCAGAAAAACCAAATGTGCAACCAAAAAGACCTTTACATGGGCTATCAGTAAAGTTTGAATGCTAGATCTTCAGATTCCCAGCAGAAACCATGACCATTTGCATGAAGGGCATAACTGTTGTCCTCTATATGGACCAGTCACCAAAGGGGAACTTGGCATACTTTGCTATTGGGTTACACAACTATTTGCCCGATATCACTAGAATTTTTGAGATCAGGAATCTTCAGATCAGTGCCTCGCTCTGGAAGAGGCTATGATCTGGTGGTTAAGGCAGTGGTGTATGGTCTAGTGGTTACAGACAACATATTAAGGATAAGAAATTTCATTTTTTTTTTTTTTTTTTTGGTACTGAAAGTCTATGTGACAACATAGATAAGGTTATATTTGCCATAGGATACTCCTGAGGGGGATTCTGCATGACTGCGTGTCTGCAGAAAATGCCCCCCTGCAGAACTCCTGTGCTTCCCTGCAGAAAACAGCAGGGAGGCCCTGTGGGGGGGGGGGGAGAGGGGAAGGACGGACAACCAAGGGGCAGGTTTTTTTGGGGGGGGGGAGAGATTGTCCTCCTCCAAACAGAGGCGAGGCATGGGGCAGAGCACACAGTTACCTGTCACTCCCTCCCCCCATCATTTCTGCAAGCGCAGAGCTGCCCAGCTGAAGGAGGCTGCTGTCTGGGCTCCCGCTGACTCTGCAGCTGAACACCGTCTCCTGGGTCCTAGTGCCAGTCGGGCTCCCCTTCTGTGTGCTGGAAGCCTTCCTGTTTTCTGTGCAACACTGAGTGCCCGTGGTGGGGCTGGGTAAGGGGGGGGGAGAAGAGGCAAGTGGAGGAGTGGAATAGGGCAGGGGGAGGGGAATATGAGAGTGAAGGGAGGGAATGGAGAAGAAAAGGGGATGGGGGAAGCGGAAGCCCAGCATGCAGTGTCCTCTCGGCATCAGCTGGGGCACCCCCATTAAGCAGGCCCATCGAACCTTTACCCTGACAAGGCTTACCCCCCTACACCTGGACCCCTCTGAGCCCCCACACACAGACCCCCACCCCACTGATCCCCAAATAGCTGTACCTGGACTCCCACCCCATCAAGCCCCAGTCCCCCAGCACCTGGAACCCCCACTGAGCCCCCCCCGCTCCAAGCCCCTGGATGCCCCACTGAGCCCCCCACATCCAGGACCCCCGCCAAGCCCCATCTCATAGACTCATAGACTTTAAGGTCAGAAGGGACCAATATGGTCATCTAGTCTGACCTCCCACATGATGCAGGCCACAAAAGCTGACCCCCCCCCACTTTCCCTTAACTCTGCTGTTGAAGTCTCCAGATCGTGATCTAAAGACTTCAAGTTGCAGAGAATCTTCCAGCTTGCGACCCCTGCCCTATGCTGCGGAGGAAGGCGAAAAACCTCCAGGGCCACTGCCAATCTACCCTGGAGGAAAATTCCTTCCCGACCCCAAATATGGCGATCAGCAGAACCCCGAGCATACAGGCAAGATTCTCTAGCCAGACCCTCATTTTACCAGCGATGGCCGTTATTGCCTAATTGATTAAAATCACCTAATCCCATCAAACCATTCCCTCCATAAACTTATCTAGCCTAATCTTGAACCCAGAGATGTCTTTCGCCCCCACCGTTTCCCTCGGAAGGCTGTTCCAAAATTTCACCCCTCTGATGGTTAGAAACCTTCGTCTAATTTCAAGCCTAAATTTCCCCACGGCCAGTTTATATCCATTCGTTCTCGTGTCCACATTAGTACTGAGCTGAAATAATTCCTGTCCCCAGACTAAGACACCCCCCCCCCCCCCCCGCTGAGCCCCAACCACCTTCACCTGGATCCCCTGCAGAGACCCATTGCCCCTGCACTTAGAACCCCCCACCAAGCCCCGTGCATCCAGATCTCCCACTGAGCCATTTGCACCCAGACTGCCCCACACAGAAACCTCTCACCCCACACCTAGATCCCCCACACACTAAGCCCCTCCACACTTGGATCCTGAAGAGCTGAGCCTGCCCACCCATGCTTGGTGCACGTGGCGCAGAGGAGCAGAGCGCCTGGGTGTTTCCGGGGGAGGCCCAGCCCTTGGACTGTGGCAGTCAAGTGCAGCCTCACTGCCGAGTCCCTATACCAGGTGATTTGGGGGCTTCAGGGTGATCTCCCAGTTGCAGCCAGTCGCCTGTGCTCCCTGCTGCCATGCTGGAGTCACTTTTCTTTATTGACAAAATTTGCAGAATTTTAAAATGTGTGCTTAATTTTTTGGCACAGAATTCCCTCCGGAGTAATAGGAGAGACCTGGGTTCCATTCCCAGCTATCCTGAAATGACTGTATGAAACCTCTCAGTTAACTTACTTGTAAAACAGGGGAATGATACCTGAGTGCTTTTTATGGCAGGAGCCTTTGCTCAATAATAAAAGATCACAAGTGCATAGAAATATAATAGTAGTCGGTAGGGGGGAGATCAGAACTCCTGGCTCCCAACACCTTTCCCTAAGCTGCTTGGGGGTATTTTTCTTCTCTCCGTCATCTGTGGGACATAGCTCAGTTTGGTGGGAAGTAGAACAGGCAGCGTGATTTAGCAAAGATGTGGAACATCCCACAAAACATAGTAAACAAATTTTTCAGCTAGTTCTCCATTGCCATATAATCCTGCCCCACTCACCTATTTACATTACCTATCCAAACTTAATGTAGACCCCTAACATTTGCAAAACTATACGTAAAAGTGAAAACAAATTACTAGATTACAAAAATTAATTTCCTATTCAAGGGATCAATTTCCAATATACTATACATATGCTACTACCTTACTCATTATAAAACACTACATGTTCTTTCCCCCTTTGCCAAAGAGTAGCTGAATTCCTGGCATAGCAAGTCAGTTTCCCTCGTGGAGCAGAAATTGGTGATGTGGAGTCAGGTATTTGTTTGGTGTAATTTATTTACAAATACACAAGTCCAGTTCCTTCAAACAAGTGTAAGCGGGGGAATGGTCCCGCTATTGTGGGGAACTTTCCTGGCTTCTGCACTACCCCAGTGAAGTGGGCTAGCGAAAGGATCTGAGTTCTCGCTCCCACTTCCTTTACCCAGAGGCCTCCCTGCCCTCGAGGACTCCCCTTCCACTCTCCTGTCTGGCAGAGTCCTCGTAACCCCAACAAGGCTGGGCCCAGGATTCTTGGGGGGCTCAACCCCCAACCCTGCTGTGGTCACCTAGGACAGGGGATAGGGTGTCCCCACTCCGGGGTACTCTCTGCACTGGGCGCCTCCCTGACCCACTGATCATTTCATACAATTTAAAGCAAATACAAGTTGTTTAATTAACAATTAATTTAAAAAAAAAAAGGAAAAATGGGAAAGGTTAAAGGAAAACGCATCACCCTGCTCTGTGGCAGGGAACATCACAAACAGTGTCTCTGGACATCAGGGCACTTCACAGTCTGTTCCTTGTAGGTCCCAAGTCTCATTCTCAGGCCCTGGCTGTGCTGCAAGGATGCTGCGGGTTGGACACTTGCAATGGTGGTGGCCACACACCTCCAGGCTTTGGGTGGTGGGACCCTTTTTCCCAGTGTCAGCCCCCCGTTGGGTTAAGATCCGCCTCCCAGTCTGGCCTGCAAGGACCCTTGGCTGGGGGTATCTTTCTGCACTGGGCCCTTTGCCCAAGGTCCCCCCTTGGCTGGCCCCAGTTGCTCACCACACCTGGCTCTGTGGCTGCAGCTCTGCTCCCAGCATAGGATCTGCTCTCTCCCTGGGCTGTCTCTGGTTCCGTGGCTGCAGCTCTGCTCCCAGCACAGGATCTGCTCTCTCCCTGGGCTGCTTCTGTGACTCTGCTCCCAACTCTGACCTGCTTCCTGAGCTGCTTTTCTGGCCCCCTTGGATCTGGCACAGCTCTGCTCCCCAGCTCAGCTTGGGCCCCTGCTTTCTCCTTAGCTCGGCCCCACTCTGTCTGACCCAGGCAATTCCAGCTCACAGGGAGGACCCCCCTGGCCTCCTGACTTCCTGATTAGCCTGCCTGATTGTCAATCAGGCTCAGAGGCTGACGCTGACCTGGAGCATTGGCCTCTCCCCAATCTTCTAGTGCTGGGAGCTAGCCAACCAAAACACCCCCACTGAATGTTAGTAAGGGGGCAACAGTCCCCTTACACAAGGGTGATAACAAACGGCACACAGGCAACTCCCTTTAGCAGAAATCTCTTATAAGGCCCTAAAGTAGGTGTCTTGCTCTGTTTCTTTCAAGGCTCTGATGCCAAACTCACTGCTTAACCCATAGTTACTAGTTCCAGCCCCAAGCTCCTGCGTTTTTACCTAGAAAACCCTGCTCACCCCCAGACTCTAGGGGTTGACTAAGGGGCTTGACTGTGAACCCCTCCTTGTTGAAACTGCTCTGCAACACAGAGCTCAAAGAGACCTAATGAGGGATGTTTTAACCCACACAAGGGGTCAAGAGCAAGCAGGACAAATGCCCACTTCTGTCAAAAAGCGGGGTGCAGAGGAACGTGGAGTGGTGACGCCAGCCCCGCGCGGGGGGGGGGGAAGAAGGGCTCGCGTGGGGCAAGCATAGGGTTACCATTCGTCCGGATTCCCCCGGACATGTCCGGATTTTAGAGCTAAAAATAGCGTCTGGGGGGAATTTCTAAATGTCCGGACTTCCCCCGGGCTCTGACAGCCAGAGACAGCCCCTCCTTCCCCCTGCAGCAGAGATCGCTCCCATACAGCCGGCCCTTCGCAGCGCCAGTCTGGTGCTCCTCCCCCTGCTCCTTCTCCCCGGCACGCTGGCCTGAGCGGCAGAGTAAGGAGGCCAGGGAGTCAGAGAAGGGGCAGGGAGGTTCTGGAGGGAGCAGTCAAGAGACGGGGGAGGGGTCGGGCGTTCGGGGGGGGGGCTTTCTGGGGGGTGGGGGGGTGGATAAGGTTTTGGGCAGTCAGGGTACAGGTAGGGGGTA